GAGATAAAGGGAGAGACATTTTTTTATAGTGTTTGGATTATTAATTTTAATTCATATTGTATATATTTTTTCTATAGTAAATGAAGAAGAAGAAGAAGAAGAAACCTTCCATCATTGCACAACCCTTGACAGTAAGGGCAAACAAAAATGGAACGATAAAACTTAAACCGAATTAGTACTTACTGACTTAAAAACTTTGATTTAAAGTTAAAATTATGGGTTCAAACCCTTTTAATATCAAACAACTCATTTAAATGTAACAGTTTTCCAAAGAAAAAACACTTGCAATGTGCCAAAAAAACAAATAAAAGAAGACGAAGAAGAAGCAATGGCAAAAGTGTGGTTATGGCCAAACATTCAACTTATTAGTTGATTTCAATATGTTAAATAGTAAATATTAGTTATTTTATTAATTATTTTTAATAATCAAATTAAACAAAATTTGCATTTTTGCAATCATAATAACTGTATAATCTTAACATTTGGCCACAAATACCACAGCCCAAGGGCAAAGGAAAGAAAGAAGACATTAATTGCAGGTAAGAAATCCAAACTGCAGAAAACGCTTAGACAGACATGCACATACTCCCCTATATTTCGTTTGGGCTTTGTCTCTAATTGTTTCAGTTTTTTCTTAGCCCATGTGAAAAGCCCAGTTTCTATCGATAAGTATAAGTACGTGCAGTGCAGTGCACTTCCCCTTCAAGACCGTTCCCGCCAAACACTGATCGGTGTGAGCTCCGCTTCAAGCTTCGGTTTCGGAAAGAGAGAGAGCGGCTTCGGTTTCGGAAAGAGAGAGAGCGGCTTCGGTTTCGGAAAGAGAGAGAGCGGCGGAGGGAGGGAGGGAGGGAGAAGGCCAAGGATGGAGTTTAGTCTCACCGGCAACGCGCTCAAGACTCCGGTGTGGTCAGTCACGTGTCCCCCACGTGAAGGCCACGAGCTTGTCATTCTCGATCAGGTGAATTTCCGGCGTCTTCTTCACCTCTTAATTCCTTAGTCCATCACTTATTGCGATTAATTTACTTGGCATTTACGTTTGAGTTTGTTTTTGTTTTTTGTTTTTTTTTTTTTTAACTTATTTACTTATTTATTTTTGGGCGGTTGTACTGAGAAATGCTGGATTTCGTTTTTTATTTTTATTTTTATTTTTTAAATCTAGATTACCAAGTATTTTTTTATCACTGGAAATGGAGGGAAATGAGGTTTCGATGCTTCAATTTGATTTTTTTTTTTTTTTTTAAATTTTGGTGGTTTGTCAATTCTGTGATTTTTAAATAATTGGAAAAGATGCAAAGTGCAGATTCAAATTAGGCTGTTTGTTCTGTTCTTAGGACTATCACTTCAAGCTCTGGTCATTTGATTGTACAATTGTGCAATTGGCTGATCCGCATCAAAAGTGCAATGGACTTTGTAATCTTTTAGTGGTAATGTATTTCTTTATGTTCTTCACATGTTTCATCTTGCTGTAAATGGGAGAGATAGGGACACTATGTTGGGGGGGGGGGGGGGGGGAGGTGGAAATTACAGTCTCTTTATTGCTGTTTATGTGAAGAAATCTCAATCTGTCTAACAACAGCCAAGAGTGGTCCATAATTGATGGTAGAAGTTGGAAGCTATCTTTTGAGTATTCTTTTCATGTGGTGCTTTTACAGTCAAGTATGTAAGATGATGGAATCATGCGCATTGAAGTCAAATGGGAATTAGGAAGTACGAGTAGACTGTCATTCCTTTTCTTGAAAATCAGTGGGATTGTTTCAACAATGTTTTCACAAAATCTTTTACAGGGAATGTTTTGGTACAAACATTTTCTTGAACTTCTATGTCTGTAAAATACTTGGCAGAAATAAAAATATTGTAAACACCTGTTTTTTTCTCACCACCATGGATGCCGAGTTGTCAATGATACACTGAACATGAGAACAGGTACTACACATTGGCTTATTTAAAAGCAAAGATACAGAAAGACCCTAAAACAAGTGGTGGTTAATGTTGGCTTAATACATTTTCAAAATGAAATTACTAACTGGTTTGTAAATCAGAAGACAAGTGGAGAAACGATAAACTAGTAAATGCTATCTTACATATCAAGAAATAAGATGCAATGAGTTATGAATGTGTACTGTTTTAAAATTTTTTAATTAATATTTATTTCTGATATTTTGAAATTGTTATCACAACTAGATTGAAATGAAGTTGTATTTTCTCAAGTTGCTTTAATTACATGCTTTGGTATTACATGACAAATCCATGTTTGATCGCAACTGATACACCCTGTAGTTTTTTAAACTTGGAAATTCATTTCATGGATTCATGTGGTGATCAATCAAGTTGGCCATCTACTTTAATTTTACTGAATTATCTCTGCTTATTCAAAATAAGCATTTGATCAACTGATGGCATCTATTTTGCCTGCAGTGTTAAATGTAATAATCTCATCATGCAAAACATGAATTCAGTGTTGTAATTCTGTCTTTGGAATCAGACCAATATTGATGGCACCAAAATTCAGCCTTGATGATAAGCCTGGCTCAAGCTTTGACACTACACTAGTACTTTCAACTATGCTTATATCACTGCTACATGAAGGCAATCCCTCTGTACCTCCACAAACAAGCAGCTAAGCTATAACTACAGCAATGCATGGCTAGTGTCAAAAGGACAACAAGAGAGGCCCAGAGCAAATATTTTTGAGCATCCATCCGATCAAACCCAAATTTGGTTCAACCTTCCAGGTAATTATTTAATTTTTAACCGGTTGCATTATGTCTACACACTATGGCTTTACTTAGGAAGTACAACAAGAAGCAGTAATAGTGTAGAAGAAAGGCAGGTACTGGGGAAATAGAAATTGAATGCTAGTGAACAGAGAGAATTCAAAGTATTAGCATGATGCAGATGACAAACTAATAGAAAGAGGGGAAACTAAACCTTAATATAATATAATTTGCCCTAGATCTAGAATTACATTAAATATCACAGATTAGCTCCTAAATATTCATAATTATAAAATAATCCTAAAAAATACATATTATTCTTCCAAATATTCTTCTTGATTGCATCACTAGCAATCTCTATAGACAATATTCATCAAAACCTTCTTGACCAGACTTATGTTGTCACTTTTGAATTTGCTTTCCATGCTTAGTGCACTTGCATCAACTCTATGTTCTACCTTCTTTAGTTTTCCTGCTAGGCCGGTACATGGTTTAATATCTTGCAGACATTTTCTGCAATGTTAATTTGTAGGGGCAAATGAAGATGCTTCTCTTGTGGTGTTCTGTGGCAAAGCTAGGGACGTTAAATCATCTTGCCCAACTTTGAGATAATGTGCCCTTCCCATTTAGTTGTACCTAACATGGTTAAGTTGGACCTACATGACAGTTAGTAAGTCAGTTTCAGTTGGTATAGGCTTGTCTATTTCCATCTTTAGCTTTTTGCAAAAGGATTTTTGGAGGTAACATATGGAGTTATAATTCTGCATAAGGAGATGCCAACCTCCATTACGGTATGGATAGCGGGTGTTTCACTAATGCACGTGGGTGTATCTATTACAATATCCATAGATGGTGTGAACTAGTTTGTCAAAAATATGAAGCAAATTTCAGTTCTTGACTTTTGTAGGATTTTCTCTTAGCTCTTGCTAGAGGTCCTTGACCAATTCTTACAAGCTTAAGTACAGTTGTCACCTTAAATTGTGAAAACTAATCATAATTTATTAGGAATGGTATAAGACTATTGAGATTTTGTTGTAAAGCAATGACAGGTAAGAATCTATTGGTATAGTGTGTCACACCTCAGATTGAAGGGAACAATGATAAGAATAATACCATTTGCTTCCTTCATGGTATTTTTCACTGGATAATTCCATTGCAACCAACAAATTGTTGGTCTCTGGATTCCTCTAGAAAATAGGATGGAACCTAAATTAAAATGGCATGAGGCAGGTAGACTGAATGATTGAGAGCTTTTTAGAGATTTACTATTGAACCATATCATTTGATTCACTATACGGTTTCTGAACTGTTTATGGTTTTTACTGCCTTGTAATTGCAAATTATCAAATCTTCTGCTCTACAAACTGATTTGACTTTCTATCTGCGTCCAGATTCTCCATTTGCTGTTTAACAGAACAACACTCCTTGCTATGTCAAGACAGGTATCAATTTCAACTTTTTGGTGTTTCAACTTTAAGCATGCAGCTTCTTAGACACTATGTTACCCTAGGTTTTGGAAGTCTCAGCCATCTGATTTTAGGCTTGCTTAGAATGGGAACTGCTTTTGCATTTCTGAATAAATGGTATGACTCTTCATATCATTGATTCTAAAACACTGAAAAATCTCTAGGTGGGGTCCAGTAGAGGTTGAAATATTTGCCCAAGCCATAAAGGGATCCTTTGTGTTGGGCCATTTATGCTAGCATGATCATGTTTGCATGCCGGGATGTCATGGTGGTTATGATTGATTCTAATTTATTTACTTCCCTTTAGTTGATTTTCTCACACTATCTTTTTTTGATAGATGAACGTCTGAATTGCAATTTCACAAAATATCAGGGTTTAGTGGCATGTTGAGTTTGTAGAGGTTTTTGAGGTAACCTTTTTCTATATATGCAAGGGATATCATGTTACAGGATATCTGTGACAAAGTGGCAAGGGTTTTGCCCTCAAACTTGAGCTTGTAGGTAGTTTTGAATCCTGCCTTGCGATTGTTTACTACTTACTAGTACTTAGTGTTTTATTATAATTTTGTAATTGTAATTTAATTTAGGGTTTTTTTAAAGATGTGTTATAAGGGTAAGGTTAAAACGTAATTATTGTATTTTTTTAATATTAATTAGTATTAAAAAATATAAAAGTTGCCATTAATTTTACTCTTAGTGTCACATAAATCATTTAAATTAGGTATTTTCTTAAATAAATGTTAATTTTTATAAATATTTTTTTAGTATTAATTAATATAAAAAATACAAAAATTACACCTTAGAAAACTCTTTAATTTAAGTTTTGAAATGAATAATTTGTACTGTACACAAAAAAGTAATACTAACTTTTGATTTAGAAATTGTTTTAATAAAATAATAACATATTAATTAGTTAATAAAAATTTATATTTATCCCTAATTACA